TTTTCCAAAAATTGCTTCTTTTATGGCACTGCTCTAAACTCTTCAACACAGGATCGTGAAGACTGTGAAAAAACATTCGCCCTTGTTGTTTGTCGTTGTGTCCCTGAGAGCGCCTAAAGATTGGTAAGTCGCGACGGCGGATTCACTCGTTCTCGAGGATATTTACCTTTCCTTGGTAAGAAAACGGACAAAGCAAACTTGAAGCTGAACCATGAATCTTTCAGTTATTCACCCATTCTAATAGTTTCGTGAGTCTTCTCTTCTGAAGTGAAGCGAGCACACTTGCGTTCTTTTAAAAAAATAACTCCGTGATAGTGGAGTGCCTCCATTCGCCGCGCCGAATCGCTTGATTCCATTTCTTTCTTCGTAAAGAACTTTGGCAAAGCGAAGATAATCAACTTTCGTCTCTGCTGGAGTTAAATCTCCTCTTTGATGGCTCTTAAGCACGTAACAACTCGAAGGAAACCATATTCATCGAATGAATCGCTAAGACGCGCAGTCAAAACAAAACTATCGAGGCCTCACTATCCTCGCTTCCGCGCAGCTAGACCCGGGCCGACCGAGAGATTCGCCATATTTGCATTCGGTGTATTGAAATATTTTTAACCGAGGTACCCATATGACTTTTTTGCTTGTCCTCAGTGGTATAAAACAAGGTGTCTTTTCTTCCAGAACCTTTTATTTATGCGTTATTGCACGGAATGAACACTATACTTAGAAGGTTTGTTCTAAATCATTTTGCTGTTCCAAAGAATGTATGCAAAATCATTGCTTTACACAAAGCTGACTCTAAAATATGATTTTCCGTAACAGTAACCAATGTCATTTAGGTAAGGTGTTAATAAAACAAGTAATGTACAATTTTTAGCGTTTTCCACTTATAAGCCTGACATACAATTGTCAATTGAACTATGTTAGTTTCAGCTCATTCCTTGATTTGATGTGACCTTTTATCACTAAACCCCATTCTTTTCATTTGCAATTTTCCTGTACTTTTTTTTTCATATGACAACGACAAAGAGTTTTATAAGTAAACCGATTTTTTGGTGTACCACGCTTATTACATTTTATATTCAAATACATGCAAAAGGCCGGCTAAATAAGCTCCTCCCCCTGCTCCTAATTTTTTTGGGTTGTCTTCGCCCCATGCCTCTGACGACTGCCTGTCGGCTAAAAGGAAATTTGAAAGACTGCTATGCAGGACACATTTTCTTTTTCTTCATGTTCATTTTCCCTCTACAATTTTTTATAAGTATGTAAAGATATAAAAAACACAAAGGTTTTTACAAGTAAACTGTTTTTTTTTGTCCCACTCTTAATTTATACATATACTTTGTTCTCGCAAAATGGTGGCTAAGAACGGCTGAATATATACCTTCTTGGAAATAAAATGATGCTCTTTGGTTTCCCGTTA